TCTTTTACCTCTTTAGTTGTTTATTCCTAGGTAGCTTAATTTTTTGGTGCGATGGTAAATGGGATTGTTTTTATAATCTCTCTTTCTGAAAGTTCACTATTGGTGTATAGAAATGCCTCAGATTTCTTGGGGTTAATTTGTATCCTGCTACATTGCCAAATTCATGTATTAAGTCTAGTAGCTTTTTGATGGAGTCTCTAGGGTTTTGTATGTATAATATCATGTCGTCTGCAAATAAGGACAGTTTTACTTCCTCTTTTCCAATTTGGATGCCTTTTATTTCTTCTTCTTGCCTAATTGCAATGGCTAATATTTCCAGTACTATGTTGAACAGGAGTGGTGAGAGTGGGCAACCTGTCTTGTTCCTGTTCTTAGGGGAAATGGTGTTAGTTTTTGTCCATTGAGTATGATGTTGGCTGTGGGCCTGTCATATACGGCTTTTATTATATTGAGGTATGATCCTTCTACTCCCACCTTGCTGAGAGTTTTTATCAAAAATGGGTGTTGGATTTTGTCGAATGCTTTTTCTGCATCAATTGATATAACCATGTGGTTTTTTTCTTTCAATTTGTTTATGTGATGTATCATGTTTATTGATTTGCGGATATTGTACCATCCTTGCATCCCTGGAATAAATCCTACTTGGTCATGGTGTATGATCTTTCTGATGTACTGCTGGATCCGATTTGCTAAGATTTTGTTGAGGATTTTGGCATCTATGTTCATAAGGGATATTGGCCTGTAATTCTCTTTCATTGTGTCATCTTTACCTGGTTTTGGTATTAGGGTGATGCTGGCTTCATAGAATGAGCTTGGAAGTGTTCCTTCCTCTTGAATTTTTTGTAGTAGTCTGAGGAGGATAGGTTTTAGCTCTTCCTTGAATGTTTGGTAAAACTCCCCTGTGAAGCCGTCTGGTCCTGGGCTTTTGTTTGCTGGAAGCTTTTTGATGACTGCTTCAATTTCTTCCATAGTTATTGGCCTATTAAGATTTTTAGATTCTTCCTGATTGAGTTTTGGAATGTTGTATTTTTCTAGGAATTTGTCCATTTCCTCCAGGTTGTCTAGTTTGTTGGAGTAGAACTGTCCATAGTATTTTTTAACAATCATTTGTATTTCTGTGGGGTCTGTTGTTATTTCGCCTCTATCATTTCTGATTTTGTTTATTTGGGTCCTCTCTCTTTGCTTCTTGGTGAGCCTGGCTAGAGGTTTGTCAATCTTGTTTATCCTTTCAAAGAACCAGCTCTTGTTTTCATTGATTTTCTGTATTATTTTTTTGGTCTCTATGTCATTTATTTCTGCTCTAATCTTTATTATCTCCTTCCTTCCGCTCGCTCTGGGGTTTTCTTGTTGCTCTCTTTCTAATTCTTTGAGTTGAAGAGTTAGATGATTTACTACCATTTTTTCTTGTTTTTTGAGATAGGCCTGTAGAGCTATAAACTTCCCTCTCAGGACTGCTTTCATTGTGTCCCATAGGTTTTGGATTGTTGTATTTTCATTGTCATTAGTTTCCAAGATGTTTTTAATTTCTTCTTTGATGTCATTGGTAACCCAATCAATATTTAATAACGTGCTATTCAGCTTCCAAGTGTTTTAGTATTTTGGATTGTTGTTATTGTAGTTTATTTCTAATATTATGCCATCGTGGTCTGAGAAGATGCTTTTTATGATTTCAGTCTTCTTGAATTTGGGGAGACTTTGCTTGTGACCCAATATGTGGTCTATTTTTGAATCTGTCCCATGAGCACTTGAGTAGAATGTATATTCCGCGGCTTTGGGGTGAAGTGTTCTGAAGATGTCTATTAAGTCCATCTGATCTAGTGAGTCATTTAGGATTGCTGTTTCTTTGCTGATTGTTTGTCTAGAGGACTTATCCAGTGATGTCAGTGGTGTATTAAAGTCCCCTACTATGATTGTATTGTTGTCGATCTCTACTTTGATATCTTCCAGGAGTTTTTTTTTTTATGTATTTGGGTGCTCCTGCATTGGGTACATATATGTTTACCAGGGTTATATCTTCTTGTTGTATTGATCCCTTTAGTATTATGAAGTGGCCTTCCTTACCTCTTGTTATGGCCTTCACTTTGAGGTCTATTTTGTCCGATATAAGTATTGCTACCCCAGCTTTCTTTTCCTTTCCATTTGCCTGAAAGATATTTTTCCATCCCTTCACTTTCAGTCTGTGTGAGTCCCTTCTAATGAGGTGGGTCTCTTGTAGACAGCAGATGTATGGGTCATGTTTTTTTTATCCATTCAGCCACTCGATGTCTTTTGGTTGGAGCATTTAGTCCGTTTACGTTTAAAGTTATTATTGAAAGGTACTTGTTTGTAGCCATTTCTTTTTTTGTGTGGCTGTTTTCTTTCTGAGCTTTTTATTTCTTCTTTTTACACCAGTCCCTTTAGCATTTCTTGCATTGCTGGCTTGGTGGTGATAAACTCCCTTTCTAGTGAATGTCTTGAGCATTTAAAAAGTTCTCTCCTCTTTGACTGATAGGAATTCCACTATCTCCCAACCCTGTGTGAACTCTGGGAATTGTTTAGCTTCTAGTTTTTTAGATACTACATTTTGGCTAGTTTTCTAGAATTCTACTTAACACATGACCAGAATTAAATTCAAAGACTTGAAGGGATCTTTATGAAGATTTCTAGAACTTTCTTTTTTCTGGATGGTTCCCTGGTATGCTGTCCTGCAAATTTCAGGTCCTTGGGCCTCCCCAACTTTTTATCTATGTTCTTTTCATTTGAGTAAGATAGTTTTACTTGATTTTTCCCTACCTATGCTCTAGTCTGGAAATTGCTTCCAAATAAAAAGCTGAGGTAATCATAAGGCTGATCTTGTTTGATTCTCTTCCCTCAGGCATCACAGTTCTGCTCTGTTACATATAGTTTCTGTAGTGTTATGGTTGTTTATGCAGGCACGAAGATACTGTACCAGATACTTCTATATGAAAGAAGTTATTTTCATTAAGTTTAAGATAAAAACTTAATCCTCAGAAGGTTATTGGAAGCTCTGCGTTTATGATGAGGATATTTTGACTGTTGGACCATGTAATAGAATGGGTGATTGATTTCATTATCCTCCTTCATAAAAGCTATTATCTGTAGAACCTTTCTTTTGGGCATCTTACTTTGAAATTCAAGTTTCCAGAATTCAGATCTCTTTTTGGTTAAATGTTTCCAGAAGATAAACTTTCCATTTTTCTCTAAGGGCAGCTCAACTATTCTCCAATTTTATTTTATTTTATTTTTTTGCTATTTAACCATATTCTGAGGATAGTTCTCTTAATTTTTTATATCTTCAGAATTAGTTTTTTCATTCATTTTTATATCTTTTTAATTAGTTTCTTTATTTTTTTTTGCTCTCCTAAACTTTTTTCTTTTTTCTTTTTTTAGTTTTATTGCTTAAAGCATTACAAAGGGTATTACATATGTCTCCTTTTTTCCCCCACCCTTGACAATCCCCTGGCCTCCCCTACCCCCCAGTGTCTTATGACCATTGGTTATGCTTATATGCATGCATATAAGTCCTTCAGTTGATCTCTTAGCCCCCCTCCTTCTGCCCCCCTACCCTCCCCGGCCTTCCCGCTGCAGTTTGACAGTCTGTTTGAGGCAGTTCTGCCTCTGTATCTATTTTTGTTCAAAAGTTTATAATGGTCTTTATTAGTTGGAAAATAGTTTAACCTTGGGGGTTATTTTAATGGAAAAACCCATGAAGAGATCAGGACAGAAGTTTCTAAGCTTCGGCTTTTAAAAATATATATATTTTTATTGATTTCAGAGAGGAAGGGAGAGGGAGAGAAAGATGGAAACATCAATGATGAGAGAGAATCATTGATCGGCTGCCTCCTGCACGCCCCCTACTAGGGATCGAGCCCACAACTTGGGCATGTGCCCTTGACTGGAATCGAACCCAGGACCCTTCAGTCTGCAGGCTGACGCTCTATCAACTGAGCCAGAACAGCTAGGGCAGCTTTGGCTTTTTAACTTGTATAATTGATTCTGTCATTTCATGACACTTGACACCTAATTGTGTCTAATTGGTGAGTTATGCTTTTGTGTGCAGGTGTAAGTAGAAGCTTGAATGCTATTCCTGTTGAATTGTGAGAGAGAGTGCTAGATCTAAAACATACCATAAACACAAAGAGATAGGAAACAGCCCAGCCATTGTGATTCAGTGGATTGAGTGTTGTCCCATGTACCAAGAGATCACTGACTCCATTCCCAATTAGAGTACATACCTGTGTTGTGGGCTCGAGGGCATGCAGGAGGCAGCCAATCAAGGTTTCTCTCTCATTGATGTATCTGTCTCTCCCTCTCCCTTCCTCTCTTTCCAAAAATATAAATAAAAACATATTTAATTAAAAAAAGAGATAAGAAATACAGAGGCTCAAATATAACTGATGCTTATTTTGTCTTTCTTCTGACAGTGAGAGGTATGTGAAACCCAGAGCTAGAGAGGCAGCCTTCTCCAAAGAGTCTTCTGGGGACCCAGGATCCTTCTATCCTGTGGTTCTGCCAGCCCCAGGGCGATGTCCTGGTCTGTGTGGTTGAAGTTCTTGTCTCCACATCATGTTCCAGTCTGTGGGAACGGGGGTTGTGGACGTCCTGGGAAAGCGCCCTTGTCTTTGATCTGATGAGCCAGAAGTGTTACCTATTACTTTTTCTTGCATCCCTTTCATCAACACTAAAACAACATTGTTATCCCTACCTCCAGGAAAGGCTAGGGAAAATGGCATCAAACTGGGTGCATGTGGCTTGACTAAAATTCGAGAGGATCTACTATGAAAGAGAAGGCGGAGGGGCTCCAAGGACACTAATGCTCTTTGCCCCAGTCCAATATTCTTAGTTACAAATAATCATATGTAACAGGAAAGTATTAATCATCTTTGCCCACTGAAAAATCAACCATTGGAGATGTCAATAAATTATAAATATGTCCTGGTTTTGGTTTTAGATGGCCCACAGTGACCCACGTGCCAGGTAGCATTCTACGCCAATCTTGAATGCCAACAGGAAGTCACGGGACAGTAAACTCTTCCAGGATCATAACTGGGCTGTTGGAGTAACGTGGAAAAGAAGAAAAAAAGAATCAAAACCATGACAAAAGTAAATAGAGCCCGGTCCACCTCCCCCCCGGATGGAGGCTGGGGCTGGATGATTGTGGCTGGCTGTTTCCTCGTCACCATCTGTACCCGGGCAGTAACCAGGTTAGTGGCATTTTCTTCTTGATTTATTAAGATGATCTGGTTATTTTTGTTGTTGTTGTTCTAAGTCTGCTTCGTTCTATTTCTGAACCTGCCATTGTGAAAATGTGTGTGTGTGTGTGTGTGTATTTTCTTTGCTCAGACATCTTTTTCTTTGTGAGGAATGTGATTTTCTGACACTTAAAAAAGTTCTGTATTGTGGTCTCTTTGATAATATCTGACACATAAACCTGAAGTGTTAGGGCATTTTTAGACCAAATATGTGGCTATTCCAGCCACCTGTCTTCATACACAGCTCATCCCAGAAAGGAAAAACATATAAGGCTAAAATAGTCCTTGAAAACCTCTTGACTTACTAAGTACTGAGCCCTTAGAAGCTTAAAACCTTCATTTAAGTTCTTTCGCTTCATATTGCATTTGGCTGTGTGTTTGGTGGTGGAGGCTGAGGTCTAGGTTGAAGACGAGAGCAGCAGCATAAATACATGGATTCTCTCCTTATTTACTCATATCTCCTTCTCTCTCTTTTTATTTTTCACATGTTTATATTCGGAGAAAGTTTCTTTTTTGGTTTTTAAATTTTGTTTTTAATTATAGTTTACATTCAATATTGTGTTGTATTAGTTTGAGGTGCACAGCATAAAAAATATGGGCTGCTTCACGAATTTACATGTCATCCTTGCACAGGGGCCATGCTAATCTTCTCTGTATTGTTCCAATCTTAGTATTTGTGCTGCTGAAGTGAGCACCTCTCTCTCTTTTTCTTTTATCCCAGGGCATAGTGTTGAAAGTGCTTAAGTTAAACGTGTACACACTGAGACTCATTAGAACAAATACATACTTGAAATCTGCAGGTGCCAGCTCTTTCCTCTACAGGTGCTCCCATTCAAATTGCACTCTGTTCTCCTCTGGCAGCTCACCCGTGGAAGCAAAAGAAAGCAGTTTGCACTAATAACTTTATTTGATGGCATCCTATATAATAAAAGCATAATATGCAAATTGACCGAATGGTGGAATGACCAGTCACTATGATGTGCACTGACCACCAGGGGGCAGACGCTCAACGCAGGAGCTGCACCCTGACAGTCAGTATGCTCCCACAGGGGGAGTGCCACTCAGCCAGAAGCTGGACTCATGGCTGGCAAGCTCAGCAGTGGTGGCAGGAGCCTCTCCAGCCTCTGCTTCAGGAGGGCGGTAAGGAGCAACAGGTCCCAGACTGTGAGAGCCCCAAACTGTGAGAGGGTTGTCTGACTGCAAGAGGGATGTCTAAGCCAGCAAGCGGACATCCCCCAAGGGGTCTCAGACTGCGAGAGGGTACAGGCCGAGCTGAGGGACCCCCCGCCCCAACCAGTTCACAAATCTTGTGCACTGGGCCTCTAGTCATTAATAAAAGCATTGATGTTACCTTCATAACAAACACATAATGCAGGAAAGAAGCAGGATGTTTGTTTTTGCCACAATAAAAGCTGATTAATTATGTGTCATAATACACTGTAGATTTGCTTAAGATTATACAATTGGGCTGAAACCGGTTTGGCTCAGTGGATAGAGCGTCGGCCTGTGGACTGAAAGGTCCCAGGTTCGATTCCGGTCAAGGGCATGTACCTTGGTTGCGGACACATCCCCAGTAGGGGGTGTGCAAGAGGCAGCTGATCGTTGTTTCTCTCTCATCGATGTTTCTAACTCTCTATCTCTTTCCCTTCCTCTCTGTAAAAAATCAATAAAATATCTTTTAAAAAAAAGATTATACAGTTGGGGTTGAGTTTGATATTGCTTCCACTGTATTATGGATCTTGTGTTTTGGGTGTGAGGAGGTCATAGAATTAAAAGGAATCTCTGGCATCTTGGTTCTTACGTGTGGAAGCTCCCATCATCCTATGATGGGAAAGTTCTGGAAGTGAGCTCAGTGCTTCATAAGAAGGGCTGCTGGAAGCCAGGAGAGAGGATTGTGGCTGGCAGCAAAGGCCTGCTATCCGAGGTTCCTGGGAGAGGCGGAGGGGAGGATACCTGAGCAGAATAAGCTCAGAGGAAGAAAAGTGTGAAGACTCAGCCAGATCAGAATCTAAATGTCATGAACCAGGAAGCAGCCAAGAGAACTGGAGATGGACAAGGAAAGTAGCCTGCAGGGTGATTTGTTAGTTCAGAGAACCAGTGCCTGTCGGGCAATTAAATTTTTCTTCCCCCCCCCCCCCCAGTTTTACTGAGAAATAATTGACGTACATCACTGTGTAAGTTTAAGGCATACAGCATGATGGTTTTATTTCCATATGTTGTGAAATGATGACAACACTTTCAGCTAGCACCCACTTCTCATAGAGATACAATTAAAAAAAGGAAAAATAGGAAAATCAGATTTTCTCCTTGTGATGAGAATTCTTTAGGATTTACTTTTTAAACAACTTCCCTATATCATACAGCAGTGTTAGCTATAGTCATCATGTTGTTCAATACATCCCTAGTACCTGTTTATTGTATAACTGGAAGTTGTACCTTTTAACCACCATCCTCCACCTACCCCTTCCCCCACTTTCCACCTCTGGTAACTACAAGGCTAATCCCTTTTTCTATTAGTTTGGTTTTTGTTTGTTTGTTTTTAAGATTCCACATATAAGTGAGATCATACAGTATTTGTCTTTCCCTTTCTGACTTGTTTCACCTAGCATATGCCTTTAAAGTCCATTCATGTCACAAATGATAGGATTTCTTAATTTTGTTATGGCTGAATAATATTCCATTATATATATGTACGTATATATACTTCTTTATCCATTCATCTGTTGATGGACACAGATTGGTTGCATGTGCATGTCTTAGCTATTGTAAATAATGCTGCTATGAATATGGGGTTGCTGATAACTCTTCAAGCTAGTGTTTTTATTTCCTTAGGATATATTCCCAGCAGTAGAATAGCTGGATCACATGGTAGTTCTGTTTTTAATATTGTGAGGATCCTCCATACTGTTTTCCATAGTGGCTGTATCAGTTTATAATGCCAGCAACAGTGCACAAGGGTTCCCTTTTCTCCAGCATTTTTTTTATCGCTTGTATTTAGATGATGGCCATTTTAACTGTGTGAGTGATATCTCATTGTGGTTTTGATTTGCATTTCCCTAATGACTAGTGATGTTGAGCATGTTTTCATGTACCTGTTCGCCTTTTGCATATCTTCTTTGGTGAAATGTCTACTTAGGTCCTTTGCCCATTTTTAAATTGGGTTATTTGTTTTTTTACTATTGAGTTGAATGAATTATTTATGTTTTAGATATTAATCCTTTATCAGATATATGATTTGCAAATATTTTTCCTCATTTCATGAGTTGTCTTTTCACTTTGCTGATGGCTTCTTTTGCTGTGCAGAGCTTTTTAGTTTGATATAGTCCCCCTTGTTTGATTTTTATTTTGTTATTTGTGCTTTAGGTGCCATATAAAAAAAGAATCATTACCAACACTCATGTCAAGGAGCTTTATCCTTATGTTTTCTGCTAGGAATTTCATGATTTCAGGTCTTACATTTAAGTCTCTAATCCATTTCAGGTTAAATTTTTTGTGAGTGATATGGGTTCATTTTCTTTTCTTTTCTTTTTTTCATTCTTATACATGTGAATATCCAATTATCCCAGCACCATTGAAGAGACTGTCTTTTCTCCATTGAGTATTCTTGGCTCCCTTGTCAATTATTAGTTGACCATATATGCTTAGGTTTATTTCTGGGCTTTCAATTCTATTCTATTGATCTATTTGTCCATTTTTATGCCAGCACCATACTGTTTTGATGATTATAGCTTTATAGTATAGCTTGAAATCAGGAAGTGTGATACTTTCTGTTTTGTTTTTCTTTCTCAAGATTCTTTGCTATTCGGAGTTCTTGTAATTAACCATTTTTCAAAATAAAAATTTCTTTGTCTCTTTGTCTTCATCTCCATCTCTGTCTCTGTATGCCTCCCCCACCTCTGTGTGTGTATATCCATATGTTTCTGATTATATAAGAAAGCATGTTCATTGTAAAATAATTCAAAATGCAGAATAAAATTAAAAATGAAATAATTTATTATCGCACAATTCACATATAATGACTGGGTAGTTTTTAGTTTATATGTTTTCAGGTGTTTTTTTTTAATTTACATAAATATGTATTTATAAAAATAAGCCCTTACTATACAAACTATTTTGTAAATTGCTTTTTAATTTAATATTATATTGTGAATTTATTTCCAAATCAAAACAGATCAAACCATCATTTTTAATCCTTAATAATATTTTATTATTATTATAATTATTATTGTTATTATTATTAGAGAGAGTGAAAGGGAGGGGGAGAACAAGAGAGGGAGAAACATTGATGTAAGGGAGACACTTGGATTGGTTGCTTCCTGCACGTACCCCTGACCAGCCTACAATTGAGGTACATGCCTTTGATTGGAATTGAACTGGAAACCCTTCAGTCTGCAGCTGACACTCTAACCACAGAGACAACCGGCTAGGGCAATATTTCATTTTTTGGTATTCCAAAATTTATTTAACCAGTCCCTTATTAATGGACAAAGAGGTTGGTTATATTTGACTATTATGAAGAGTTCTCCAGAATATTTTTTATGTGTATCTAATTTCATCTTCTTCATCGGCATCTGTTTATTACCTTTGGTTAAAATCTAGACATGAGCCCTGGCTGAGTGGTTCAGTTGGCTGGAGCATTGTTCTTTACATGGAAAGGTTACCAGTTTTGATTCCTAATCAGGGCATATACCCAGGCTGTGAGTTTGATCCCCAGTATGGAGAGCAACCGATTGATATTTCTCTCTCTCCCTCTAAAATCAATAAAAACATATTTATGAGTGAGGATAAAAAAAAACCCGAAAACCTAGAAATGAAATTGCTGGGTGATGTATAACTCTTTATTGTTAAACTAGAGGCCCAATGCACAAAATTCGTGCAAGGGCTTTGGCCCTTGCTGCTGCAGTGGCCACCTTTGCCTCGGCCCCCGCCCGCCACAGCTTTGTCCTGTATAATTAGCATATTACACTTTTATTATTATAGATTTTAACTTATATAACAACCTCTTACATGTTACAGATGTAAGTTAAATATTAAGATGAATAAAAGTACATGTTTTTGACCTGCCATCTTTTTCATAAGATTTTCCCTACAGCAGTGATCTTCATATCTACTTGGCTTCAGCAGCCCCTCCAGTGAATGAACACTTGTTCTTATCCTTTAGAATGGGTCAATGGTCAGCTTCTGATTTCCCACTTATTATGGTCCAGGAGAGTACCACTGAAAACCAATTTAAACCCATGGAACAGTTGATGGAACTAAAACTTTAAGCTCTGATTCAAATTCATGTTCATTCTTTTTTTTTTTTTTTTTTGTATAACATACTTGCACTGTATTTTTCAGATGTATTTCAGTTTTTTTTGTGGAGTTCCAGACATACTTCACTCAGGATTATGCACAAACAGCGTGGATCCATTCCATTGTAGACTGTATGACCATGCTCTGTGGTAAGTATCACTTACCAAGGATAGACAGCTACTACCTACTGGCAAATTGTACATGACAATGACCTTCTACTGCCTTTGATTACCAAGTTTTCTTAGTAGAAAGACTATGGTAAAAATTGGCTAAGATGAAAAGAAAAGGTCGATCCTACCTTCAGCCAAACCCAGCCAGACATGCTCTTGGAATTAATGGTCTTGGCTGATGTCAGATGGAACAGGCAGTGAATAACTGAGGAGGACACATTCCATTTGGTTCTTCTATATGAGGAGGACTTGGGCATCATAGGAATTACCTGATTTTGGAAGTAGCTAACCATACGGTGTATGCGTGGCTTCTTTCTTCCAAATGCTGTGATCCCTTCATTCTCCAGTCATGTAAGTCCTTGGATAGCACCGTGAGCCATTTCTATAGGATCCCCTTAAGTGAGTGCACACCATATGTGCATTGTTTCTCAAGTCTTGTTTTCATTCCATTTCCTTCCCAGAGATTTCAAACTTTGTCTCATAGATTTCATCATTTTTCATGCATAAATCTTCATTCTTAAGAGAAGGAATAGGGAAGGATAGGATGGTGCAATCCTGAGATAAATACATTCACCATAGCTGTCATTTCATTCAATATATAGGGTAAGTAGAGTGTTCTCAAAATAAATGGAACTTCTCACTCCATATATTTAGTAAAGGAAAGCTAACTTTGAGGGTTTTTTTTTAAAAAAAAATTCAAACCAAAGTTGTTCAATTAATAGCTTAGAGAGTTTCTGAGATTGAGTCAAATTGGTAGAACCTATTTGCAGGCTAGACCCATTTAATCCTTTTATTGAGATGAATCCTGAGTATTTTAGAAAATTGCTCTTTCCAGGCCATGTCTTTGTGGTAAAGGGAAATATTATATTATTTAGTAACTTATAAATGATGTCACCTGATTCCATTCTAGGTACTAGTTCACATTTGTTTTTTTAATGTACATACTCAGGAATCAGTTCAATTATTCTGAAATTTATTTCCTTGGTTAGAAGGAATTTGAGAGCAAACCTGAAAGGCAGGTTTCAGGGGAAGGCTAAATTGACTCTTTCTACCAATAACACTGGAAGGTCTTAAGGGATAAAAAAAAAATATCTCTGGGTTTTCTATCTTGTGTGTATATATTTTATTTATTTATTTATTTATTTATTTATTTACCGGTGAGACAATCACTGAGTCTTCAGGGTCACATTAGTCACAGTGTTTGCATAAGCAAGTCAAGAGAGCAATGTTTGTCTTTCTTAAAGGATACAGGTGACTCATTTCCCTCACTGTTATCTTTTGGAGACTATTCATAATCCCCAAAAGAGAAATAAATGAACTTCAGTGACCAATATGGTCACAATGACCACATGAGACATTGAGCCAAAGTAGGGTCATGTTAGCATGACCTTAAGTATGCAGCATATTTAAATTCCATGCAAGGATTCAAGGCCTGTTGTACCCAATTGCTTACCTGGCAACATTGGTTGAGTATAGAGGATGAACAAGAGGTTGCAGAATCACATCTAAGACGCTCTTTGGGGACATAACTGCTCTATAATAAACAGAGAAGTTAACAGTTTTCATTGAATTTGGTTAAAATGTTGTCACTTTTCCAATAACCGTAGCAGCAGCTGTTGGGAAAATTAGACATACTTTTAGGAGATTTGCTCATTCCTGTTCTCCAGAGGTTCTATATACAGCCAGCCACTGTTTTAACTGGATAGCAGACATCAATCAGGCTGATGACTGATTCTGTCATGTACATTTGAATCAGGCCTAAATTTCAACTTGATCAATAAAAAAAATTATACCCCACTGGTACTCAGAGAACTGGCTCTTCGGATCTCGTTACTAGAAGTACTGGTGTCAGCATGAATTGTTCCTTAGAAAGAAATTCACATGCGTTCCTTACCCATCCTCCCTGCCATCAGAAGCCAGAGGAATAGTGATATAACCCTGAACTTGGTATCAGGTGCCCTGAGCTACACTTCTTGGTGATCTTGGGCATGTCATATTCCCTTGGGCTGCAATTTCTCATTGGCCTCTCCTAGCTTTAATTAATATTTTATAAACCTGGAAATTGGCACAATGCTGACGCATTGTTAAACCACAAATAGAGCGAGGTCAACCAAAATGTTACCATGGTTGTGAGCATTTTCTTAGATTTTTCTGGGTGTCAATTTCTCATCCAGAGATCTCTGAAAGCCTGAATACAGTGCCAGATTGTGACATTTGTCTATCATCTCTCTCCCTGGCCTTTTCCTGTGGAACACTGTGTGACTGTGGGCAAGTCAGTTTCTCTCTCCTCAGTTTCCAAATCTGTAGAATGAGTTTGCAGGGTTGAGGGTGCGGGGGGAGGGATGCTTGATGCTTTAAAGGTTGGTCGTTCTCTACTCTGCCAATGCAACACCCCACCCAGCCTTTTCACCGTGCCCCCAAGGCCTTTCTGTTGACCCTATTTATTTTTGTTTTTGAAGCTCCACTTGGGAGTGTTGTCAGTAACCATTTATCCTGTCAAGTGGGAATCATGCTGGGTGGCTTGCTTGCATCTACTGGTCTCATCCTGGGCTCCTTTGCCACCAGTCTGAAGCATCTCTACCTCACTCTGGGAGTTCTTACAGGTAAGGACAACTGTACCACTTGTCTCACCCCACCCCATTCAGGAGTTGTCAACCAATCAACAGAACAATAATTCATAAATTATTCACTTTGTTAGATGCATAATTTAGCTGACCTAGCCTATGTCTAGCTACCTAGCAGTTAAACAAAAGAGCTGGAAGTGCAATTTGTTGTGCGACTGTAATGAAAATGTACCACCACTTTAATTCAGCCACGTGATAAAGGTAACTGCTGGCGTTCCCTTTGGCAGAGGTGGATGGCTGAGATTCTGTACGAAGAAGCCATGAGCTATGAGCCAGGGCAACATACATTTCCAGCAGTGATCATTCTCCCAATATCTTTGACATTAAAATACTATCTGCAGTTGACTCGAGTCACCCCTGCTTTAAAGTGAATATGATTGTCCAATAAATGGGGGTTTCCAATTTAAAAAAGAAAGCCCCTGTTGAGAATATTCTCATACTTCACATTTTCTCTCCACTTTATGGATGTACACTTTAGGGCAGTGGTTCTCAACCTTCTGGCCCTTTAAATACAGTTCCTCATGTTGTGACCTAACTATAAAATTATTTTCGTTGCTACTTCATAACTGTAATGTTGCTACTGTTATGAATTGTAATGTAAATATCTGATATGCAGGATGGTCTTAGGCGACCCCTGTGAAAAGGTCGTTCGACTGCCAAAGGGGTCGCGACCCACAGGTTGAGAACCGCTGCTTTAGGGAATCATAATGAAACTCATAGAGAAGCAACATATGTATTCCATAAGGAGAATGAGTGGGGTCAAGGTGGGGTTGGTTGGTGGGACTGGGTAGCAGTTTGCCTCATCACTCAGTAGGGTGTGGGAAGTAGCACAACTCATGTCCAGGCCCTGTGCCCAGGGGGTAGCATGATCAGGGCAATAACTGATGTAGCTCCTAGAGGGGCTATAAATCTAGCTCTGTGAGCTCAGAAAGGGATCTGTCCTATGTAACCCAAAGGGCCTGGCTGTTCAGGTGTCCAGTCATTCCAGTTGCCCAGGGACTGTCCTGGTCTTAGCACTGGGTCTCACATCTGGGACACCCCTCAGGGCCAGTTGGGATCACTGGCCACCCTACACTGCAGATGGGAACAGGAGCAGAAGGGACTTCTCCTTTTCCTTCTTTGACATTAGATGCCAAGAATTCCAGGTTTAAAGCCCTTCGGATTTTCTCGATTTAAAAGGAATAGACGCTGAAAATCTTTAAGAGGCTTTCTGCTGATCTCAAGGGGTATTTTCAAGTTACTGTGTGTCCATGTATAAAATTGGCATGATGTTTTCCAATTAAGTGAAATTACTCTGGAACTTCCGTGGGGACATAAGTATTACTTACCCCCAAATTCCAGAGTAGTCCAGACTATCAGACTTGTGTCTGCATATGCAGTGAATATTTGAGGCAATTCTCTGGATAATTTAAATTAAAAGGAGGTGTTGAGGAGAATAAGTTTCTTAGTTCAGCATTATCCTGATTGTTTTAGTTAATTGAAATTTAGTTTCATATATATTTTTTTTATTGGTTTCAGAGAGGAAGGAAAGGGAGAAAGAGAGGGAAACATCAATGATGAGAGAGAATCATTGATCAGCAGCCTCCTGCATGCCCCACACTGGGGATCAAGCCCAAAACCTGGGTATGTGCCCTGACTGGGAATCGAACCATGACCTCCTGGTTCATAGGTCGACGTTCAACCACTGAGCCACGCCGGCTGGGTGAAATTTAGTTTATGTAATAGTTTTTAAGTTCTTCATTTTGTTTGTTTGTTTTGTTTGTTTTTGTCAATCCTCACCTGAGGACATTTTTTCATTGATCTTTTAAAGAGAGTGGAAGGAAGAGAGGGGAAAAGAGAGGGGAAAAGACAGAGAGACACATCGATTGGTTGCCTCCTGCACACTCCCTGACCAGGGCCTGGGCTGGGGAGAAGCCTGCAACCAAGGTATGTGTCCTTGACTAGAATCGAACCCAGAACCCTTTGTTCCGCAGGCCAATGCTCTATCCACTGAGCCAAACCAGCTAGGGCTCATTTAATTTTTTAAAGAAGTCATATTTCCTTAAGGTTTTTCTTCCCAAGAAGAAAGTCATATACATGCTATACTTTCCAAATTGTGGATGACTGGTGAAGGGAGAGAGACTCCTTTTTAGCTTGGTGTTTTAAAAGGGGTAACAGAAGGTCAGATTCTCTTTAATGCAAATAACTTCATTCTGAGGTATTTTCTTTCTTTGGCTGTTCTTGGGCACTCACAGAGTTCTCTTTATCCCCAGGTCTTGGATTTGCACTTAGTTACTCTCCAGCTATTGCCATGGTTGGCAAGTATTTCAGCAGACGGAAAGCCCTTGCTTATGGGATTGCCATGTCGGGAAGTGGCATTGGCACCTTCATCCTGGCTCCTGTGGTCCAGCTCCTTATTGAACAGTTTTCCTGGCGGGGAGCACTACTCATTCTTGGGGGCTTCGTTTTGAATCTTTGTGTTTGCGGTGCCTTGATGCGGCCAATTACTCTTAAAGAGTACCAGACAAGTCAAGAGCCAAACCATGTCTGTAGAACTCAGAAACAAGACTTCAAGCGGACGTCTCCTTGTTCAACTTGGACTAAAGAATGGGTGCAGACCTGCCTCTGTTGCTCTTTGCAGCAGGAGTACAGTTTCTTACTGATGTCAGACTTCATTGTTTTAGCCATCTCAGTTCTGTTTATGGCTTACGGCTGTAGCCCTCTCTTTGTGTACTTGGTGCCTTATGCTTTGAGTGTTGGAGTGAGTCACCAGCAAGCTGCTTTCCTTATGTCCATACTTGGGGTGATTGACATCGTTGGCAATATCACATTTGGATGGCTAACCGACAGAAGGTAAAATTCATGAAACCACAATTGGTTCCCCATCAGGGGACTCCAAGTTGTGATTTTCCCTCATCTCCTTTCCCTGTAGGATACCTAAGTCTGAAGAATGTTAACAAGTTTTCAGGGTCTGAAGGGTCTTCTAGTCAGAGGTTGGCAAACTTTTTCTGTGAAGGGACAGATAATAAACATGTTTGGCTTTGTGGGTCATATGATCACAACTACCCAACTCTGCTGTTGTAGCCCCAAAGCACCCATAGACAATACATGAACAAAGGGAAGTGGCTATGTTCCAGTAAGTCTTCATTTATGGACACTGCATTTTGAATTTTTCATATAATTTTAATATGTCACAAGTTATTGTTCTTTAGATTTTTTCCCTCCAACTATTCAAAAATGGGAAACCATTCTTAGTTCATGGATAGGGCAAAAGCAAGTGGTGAGCTGGATTTGGCCATTGTTTGCCTCCCCTGTTCTAGATGGTTTAAGATGGTGGGTATTTCTAAATTGCCGAACACTAGGGCAACTATAAGTTCTGGTGATTGATTTAATTCCAGCCTAAGTCAAGTCAGTCCACAGGTAAGACAACTTATGGCTGGGTGTCGTGGTTTTAGTTTCCTTTGAACCACTCCAGAGACTGGCTGGCAGTGGAGAGAGGAGCAAAAGAATCCAGGCTAGGAAGGAGGACCAGGTACACCTTATCTGAGGCCACACACTTACGTTTGACAGTGCCGATAGCAAATACTTACATTATAATTGTAGGTTTAGAAACCAAAGTTATAAGAAATCTACTGAGTAGTTTTTTCAGCTAATGCTTATCAGTTTGGATTAAAGACAGCAAGCTGCTCATATTCTCTTAAATGATGGACTCTTCACACTGGAGCTATGACCTCGGAGAGCTATCATCCTGTGGCTTCTCACACATTATGTCTTTGGTAATTAATCAGGATCCAACTGCCATTCTAGTTAGGATTAATTCCACATTTTTAATGGTTAAGGCAGAGGGGGAGAACAAGGAGTACCTATCTTTATAATAAAATAACTCAATAAGAAGCAGCCTAGCGTAGGTCTGATAGAGAGGTCTCTTGTCTGAGATATACCACACCTCAATTCTTGTGCTGGCTCTGCCCTTTATTATTACTGGGACCTAGGGAAAATGGCCTAACCCTCAGGTCTGCAAGGTCTTCATCTGTAAAACGGGCCAGTGCAATATTTGCCTGTAAACCTCACAGCATTTTGGAGGCTCAAATGAGACTATGGGTAGAAAAACATTTGTAAATCATAAACTGCTGGTGTGATATTATAAATAGTGTTTGAAATAATTGGTATCATGGATGGGTTTGGAGCTACAGAGAGAAAATATTACCTCCGCTGAGGAGGTCTTGAAATAAGACTTAGTCCTAGTACAAGACCTTCATAGTCTCTGGCAAATCATTTTAATGTCTTGATATTATGGTTTTTCTCTTTATGTAACCACTTGGATTATTTTTTGAGCACAAATGTGTGGCAGATAGCCATGAGTAACACATCTGAAAGCATCTAATATGGTAGACTGCTAGAATATATTAGTATGTTGAAACGCTACAAATTATTTTATGACTATTTAGGTCCTTTGCCCATTAACTTTCCCTTTTTATAGTGAAAGAAATTGAGGTTAGAGTTAGGCAGTTAGTAGGTGATAGGACGGGATTCATTCAAACTTCTTTCTAATGAGAGCATATATTATATTCTACCACACCATGCTCCCTAGAGAGATAAATTCTTACATTTGCATATGCCAGAAGACAAATAGGAATATGCCCAAAACTGATAAAAAAATAATATTGAATATCAACTGTAATTGAAAAATAAGATTCTAAAAAAAGAAAGATAGGAAGACAACATAGATAACACTCAATGGGGAGGCCATCTCTATAAGTAACTGCCATGCTTACTGCTGTCTGGCCTGGTTCTAAAGCTTTTTGATAGAACCTGTGCACATGCACTCATTCTTATTCTTCAAATCCACAGGTGTCTGAAGAATTACCAGTATGTTTGCTACCTCTTTGCCGTGGGACTAGATGGGCTCTGCTATCTCTGCCTACCAATGCTTCAAAGTCTCCCACTGCTCGTGCCTTTTTCTTGTACTTTTGGCTACTTTGATGGTGCCTATGTGACCTTGATCCCAGTAGTGACTGCAGAAATAGTGGGGACCACCTCTTTGTCATCAGCACTCGGCGTGGTGTACTTTCTTCATGCAGTGCCATACTTGGTGAGCCCACCCATTTCAGGTAAGTTTCTAAAGAGAACCCCAAACACCTCTTCTCTTTATTGTGTTGATGTGAAAACAGTGAACTCCCACACAGAAAATGAGGGTTGGAAGTAAGTTGGGGAAGAGTGAAAGAGAAAGGGACGTAAGAGCCACCAAAACATCATGATCTCACCTATATCCTTGTTTTATAATCTTCTAACCAAGTAGGGACCTTAGCCTCCTTGGAAAGGCAACATTCCAAATTAGGGTCTTGGTTCCATTCCATGTTAATGATGAGAGCAATGGAATGGAGCAGCTGTTCAGACTTACACATTAGGTTGGGCACATTCATAGAGAAGTCTGGTGGGAGTACAGGGTTCTAATAGGAGATGGGTGGTGAGGCTGAAATGATAAGTCATAGTGAAGTATCTTGAGTGCCAGCCAAAGGAGCCCTATATTCTTTAGAGACTCTGGATAGTATTACAGTTTTTGTGCAAAGGGGTAATATAGTAAAGAGTATATTTTAGAAAATGTGATCTAGCAATTGATCTGGTCATTCAAGGGAGAAGCAGTTAGGATTCCATTCTAATAGTTCAGGAGCGAACTGATAAAGGCCTAATCTATGGCTGATACAGCCATAAAATAAGCTCTGGCAGCAAGGAGGAAGTTTTGTAAAAAAAACACACAAGCCGAAACCGGTTTGGCTCAGTGGATAGAGTGTCGGCCTGCGGACTGAAAGGTCCCAGGTTCGATTCCAGTCAAGGGCATGTACCTGGGTTGCGGGCACATCCCCAGTAGGAGATGTGCAGGAGGCAGCTGATCGATGTTTCTCTCTCATCGATGTTTCTAACTCTCTCTATCTCTCTCCCTTCCTCTCTGTAAAAAATCAATAAAATATATTTAAAAAAAAAAAAAAACACACACACACAAAAACAGCAAAAAACAATAAGAAGAAAAAAAAACCCAAATCAACTAAATTAAGCATATGAGGGTAAAGGAGAGAAAGAAGTCCAAAATCACTTAGAAAACAATGGCATGGTTAAAAGTAATAAGGAAGTTGGAGAAAGTGGCTTTGCCAAAAAAAAAATAATGAATTTAATGTTTAGACATATTGAGATGTATGAAATACCCAGCAAAATGACCAATAGAACTTTTTAGGGATGAAATCTGAGCTTTAGAGGGAGGATACAATTGACATACAGATTTGGGATTCATCAGATAAAGTATCTAGAATGTTTTGCAAACTTTAAAATGCTAAAGAAATTTAAAGCATGATGAAATAAGTGAATTCAATAAATACTTATTGCTTGTGGACACCAGCCTTGTGCTCAGCGCTGTTGCTATAGCAGCAAATGCGTCAGAACCCTGTCCCTCTTTCCCAGAGTATGTGGTCAAGACCAATTTCTCTTAGATTGAGGTCCTGGGACCACCTACATTAGAATCCCCTGATGCCTTTGTTAAAAATGCAGATTTCTTGACCATCCCTCTGTGATCTGAATCTTTGCGGGTGAGTGTCAGGAATCTAAATTCTCAGCCAGCTTTCTTGTGACAGTCCATCTCACTTGATTGAGACGAACTGGTCCAGATTAGTACCTGCCTAAATTAAAACCAAGAGAATGAAGGTCTCTGAAGACAGGCAAAAAGAAATGAGCCGAACATTTGCCTAGAAGCAAATAGGGGAATTTTTAAAAGAAGGCAGGATTTCTGCTGTAGCTGCTGTTGTGAATAGATAGTTGAGGGTTATTTTCAAACTCCAGCAAGTGCTTAAAAGCAGCAAACAAGAGGAAACTATGGCTGCAGATGAAAATTCCTGGTCAGTTTAAACTCTATGATACAGGACTATATGTTTAGTGCTTCCTGTATGAAAACTGCCCCCAAAATGTTCCTCCCTCCTCCCTTTATAGCCAGTTTTTGTTTGCTAACCTTTAGGAGCAGTGTCATTCTGTTAAAAAGTCATTGGACATGAAATGAAATTAGGATTCCTGGATCCTTTTGTCAATTAGGGCCTTTATTTGGCAAATCAGACACTGTACTTATTGCCAGGCAGTAGAAGGTTAGGTGTGGGTCCTTATTGTAATACTTCTGTTATTTAATTACCTTTAAAAATGACAACTCTCCACTCAGTTTCTTCTGTTTGGTTCAGAATGCACAAGCAAATCACAAGGTAACTAGAATATTTGAGAGCACTTTGGATTGCAGGAAAGTTTGTGGGGCTTATAACAATTTTTATATGCTATTTTTAAAAAATATATTTTTATTGATTTCAAAGAGGAAGGGATAGGAGAGAGAGAGCTAGAAACATCAATGATGAGAGAGAATCATTGATCGGCTGCCTCCTGCATGCCCCACACTGGGGATCAAGCCCGGAACCCAGGCATGCGAATTCTGATCTCCTGGTTCAACCACTGAGCCATGCTGACTAATTTTACATGCCATTTTTTAACTAATGGATTTGAAGTGGGTGAGAGGAGACAGTATATGCTTCTCTGGTGGATTTTCTTAGTGTACAAGTAAACTTTGGAGGAATTTAACTTTTTAATATAAAATAATTGCCTGCTAAAGTCTAACTTTACCCCATCGATTCTCTAATCAGTGTGGCCCATAATTTGCAAAACATATGCCCTGGTTCTCCTCAAAATTTAGAGCTGGAATAGATGTTGAGATTAACCTGTTGTAACAAGAGATAAGAGGGAAAAAAGCTGTGATAACAGAATTATGCTTTCTGAAATTTGCATTTGCAACTTCTAAAATGATCTAACATTCTGGTTTTCAAACTGGATGGAGTACAATGACTGAATCCAATTGACAATTTGGATTCTGCTTTATCCAGAAACATGTATTGAAGACAGATGGAATATTGGTGCTGGGAATACTAATAGCATTTTATATGATTCTTTTCTCTTAAAACCTTAGATAATTGATCCCAACATCAATAATTTGAATGATGCTACTTTTATCATTCTACCATATTTCATGGGATTAACAATAATAATATTTAATATTTATTTTGTGGGTACAAAGAATATGGCGCTCTTCTGGGCACTTTACATAATAACAATCCATTTTAGAAGTTTCCCTAGAAAATATAATGCATTTTCAGCTGCTGCACAATATTTTTAGGATGTTTGCTTTTTGTGTCAAGGTTATAATGGTAGTGCTAGCAATCTGTTATTATTAGCCTTAAAAATTATTAGATTTCAGAGTGTGTAAGTAATTGAATTTTCAACTCAACAATATGATTTTGCTGTTGCTTGTTACAGGATGGCTAGTGGACACGACTGGCAGCTACACAGCCGCATTTCTTCTCTGTGGATTGTCAATGATATTTAGTTCTGTGTTGCTCGGCTTTGCTAGACTTGTGAAGAAGATGAAAAAAACCCAGGTGCGGATCCTTGCCAAAGAATCTGATGCCAAACTGCAGCTATGGACCAACGGATCGGTGGCTTATTCTGTAGCAAGTGAATTAGATCAGAAAGACCGGGAATCTGTGGCTATTGCTGTGCCTGGTTACAATCCCACATGACCAATGGCTTTGAGCTTGGGAATCTGCAGGGCTAAGAGAGGTGGGACCACTGGCTTATACCTGTTTCTAAAGCATTTTTATTTTGGCAGAAGCATTGCCTTCCAAGGAAATTATTATTGTTGTTTTGTTCACATATTTATAGGGGGAAATAGCAAGTAACAAAGCAAACTGGACTGGCTCAGAGTTTCCTCCTTTGGGATTTGCACTCACAATGGAACTCACATCTTTCAGGCAGTGAGCATCACTCCATAGAGAATGTTAGAACATAGCTGATGTAGTTAGCTGTAATTAGGGGTAATTTCAAGGCATGAACAAAGAAGATGACACTGGGCAGCAGCTTTGTCTCAAACCCTCTGGGCCTCCACCTTCCTTCTTCAGTTAGAAGGTGAAGAGAATCATTGACATGTAGGTTTGTCTACTTTATACTGTGTGAAGGAAGGGACCAGCTGAGGTATGGTAGTGGAAGGTGAAGGTGCCAAACCTTTTTCATAGTGGAGCTTCTCATTAGGGTTTTAAACAGGATTGTTAAAGAATACTTTAGATTCTTCAGGACAATGATTGATACAGAATGAACGTGACTGTCTCCCCCTCCACCCTTCTTTCTCCTTCAGCTAGCCCTTGCCTTTGGTAACGGTGGGCACCATTTTGAGAATCCAAAGAATCATAGAATGCCGTGGTTGGGAATTATCCTAAGGGTGGCTGGTAAGATCTTCTATTTGAAATAGTGCACTGGAAACTGGAAGGTTTTTTCCTAAAACTGTGTCCCAGACTCTCACCTTCGTTACTATCACATCCAATACTTATTTTAATTTAGCAAAACAACCAAGTTGCAAGGGCAGTTTCTACCTTTAATGTTAACACCAACACTTGGTGTGTTTGTTTTTTTCCTCCTTGGGGAAAAAGCTCTTGTTTATGAATTGCAGACACATTCCTGTTAGGAATGGAAAAATATTGGCAGTATTCCAACTGGCCAAGAATTGAACTTTTGAATCAGCAGGTCTCTGGTGAGAGTTTTCTTTTCAGATTAGACATTTAGGTTCATCATTGCCCAAAACAGGATTTGGGGGGTTTGTCTGAAAAATATTATTCTAGAGATATTCTGAAGGTGAGATTCCTTTCTCTCTGTGTTACTGCCTGCTCAATTGTCCACTACTTTTTATCCTCATGGATACTCATTAGAAACTTAGTGGACATTTTTAGCTGAATGAGAAGGTGTCAGGGGTTAACTTCAGCATCACAGTATTCTCATAAATTATAACTTTGATCAGGGGAGAGGAAGAAGTTTAAGAAGGCTAGTGGTGTGATATTTTATAATTCATAGAACACGTTAATTGACTGGATTAGAATAGTTTACTAATTCCCAAGTACTCTACTTTCCAATGGTTTGGGATAACTTCTGAGTCTTCAGATTGAAGAGGGAAGGCATGGGGAGAGAAGAGATGCCCCCCAACCTGTCTCTAATCACTTTAATTACACAGTATGATAATCCTGAACCTCAAATTATGTTACACTTTTAAATAGGGGCAAGTTATATGATTAAAAGTGGATTTTAACTATTGAACACATTTCAATTTGAACCTCAAGGAAATATTTTGACGCTGAAGGCCATTTAATCCACTGTCCTCCAAGAGACCTCACAAATGCCCTGCCAGAGGTACTGAGAGGGGAAAAAACACGGCAATGAGGAAGATTTTAGATGAACTAAGCATGTTCAGCAAGTCTTTGCACATAACTGGATTATTTAATAAAACTACATATTAATGTATTGCTTTCAGAATGAAATACTGACTTGATTTGATGGGAGAAAACTGTAATATTTCATAGTTGTTTTTCAAAGAAATTTGAATGTTATTTGTTATCTTTTTACTTAGTGTGATAATTTAGTTGTGAACTTTGTCACCTATAATTTTTTTGAGTAATGTGTTTTTCCTTTATTTTATTTTTCCATCACCATTCATCACCATAAACCCCATTCCACCCACCTCCACAGTCACTGCACTGTTGTCCATGTCCATAGTTCTTTATTGTTCTTTTCTTCTCTGTAATTTTAAAACAATATTTGGAAAATATCTGTAAAAAGTCAAAGTTAAAAATGAAGTTACATGTGTTTAGAATAGCACTTTACACTAAATGTCATTTCTTGAACCTTCAAGTCTAAAGTTTTTTTGAAATAGAAACAGTTATTAATATTATTATATATATATTTCCTAGAAGTGATCATAGTAAAATTTTATTTCTCTGGTCCTGAAATATAATTTCTCTAAAGTATTATAAATATTCACGAAAAATGAGCATAGAGATCAGAGCTTTTAAAAATTTGTATAATATATTTGAGATACTTTGACTTTATACATGCATAAATTTCTATTTTATTTTTCTTGCGGGGGGCAGCATTTTTAGAAAACCAGTAGGGAAATGTAGATCTTAGAGACTATCATTGTCATCTACACACAATTGTTTATTTCAAATGGAAGGATTCGTGGAAATGATGTGTTTTGTGGGATGAAGGACAAAATTGTGGTGAGATGATGCCAGATCTTAAATATTTTTTTATGTCACTGCAAGCTATACTCTGAAATTGAGTAGGAAAACAAAGAAAATTAAGTACTGTCAATACTTTTTCAAATTGTGATGTCTTTAATCAGAAATTTATGCTAATATTTTCTTTTTTCAAAAGCTTAATAAAATGAGTTTATAGTCGTGTGTGGAAAAACATTTTCCCGCTACACAAGGGGTTTGGATTGGATGGCGCGTGGGCCTGTCTGAATCACACTAAGATTTAACTTGTATAAAAGATGTGGTAGCAATCAAATATTTTGCAAAACCCCAAACCATTTATGAGTACTTCCAATGTATTAGCTACTGTGCTAAGCACTTCCTATTGCCTATTTAATCCCCCGAGAGCCTAAATTATCGCCATTCTATAGGTGTGGAAACAAGCATCAGGTCTCGTACCTTGTGAAACCCTGCAAAACTAGGAAGCTGATGCTGGAGCCTGCCTCCTTCTCTCCTGCCCACTCCGATCATTTTCTTATGTGGATTTAAGAAGCCCTTTGGAAACAGGCCCTTCCTTGGGCAGATAAAATCCTTTGGATTATACTTGAATCTTCTAATTAGTATAGATGGGGAGGTTCTAGGTTGAAAATTTCCAAGAGTTTTCCCAAGCGTCTGGTTCTATCAAGATCACTACTTCCAGGCTAAGTGATTTAATTGGTGTCTACTGATCCAGGTTTCTCTTTGGGGACATTTGTGTGGAGAGAGTAGGGAGACAGTTGGAGAGCACACTTTGTCACAAAAGAGAGTTCTGCCTTCCACATCACCAAAGTCAGCTTTCTCAGTCAGGAGTTGAGTTCTTTCTAAAGTGCCTGCACCATTGCCCAGTGACGATGAAGATGGTAATGTCAGCTTGACTCTCATCTTCCTGGTCCCAATAGGTGTAATTCTGAAATTATTTATTGAAATGAAATAGGGTGAATTCGAGGCAGATATCTGAGTTTTTTCTCCTCATACTTCAAAGTTTGAGTTTTTCTTTGAAAAAAACCCTCTACCAAACAATAGATTTTTATACCTATTGCCAAAGCTGCTACCTGATTGAAGCCTGACTGTAAAAAATGATACAACTGCGTTCAGCCCAGACAGACAGGCGGAATCAATAGAGTGCCAGGGCTGGGAGGAGGACGCTGCTCACACTGGAGGCCTGAACATTGGGAAAAGATGGAGCGCATGCGTCTCACGCATGAAAAGATGGCATTACAGGTCACCACACAAGCTGTTTTAACTTCACACAAAAACTTTAGACTAGGGTTTGACTAGGAGCAGAAGTTCCTGACTAGAGTCTTTTGTTGAGTCCTATGCTGGCCTCTAACTAATAGGGCATTACTGATAATCAGCATGCTGCCAAGCATTTTCAAGAGTGGGTGAGAGAAGATAATAACTACTTATTAAGCACCTCCTCAGAATCTGCCACCATGTTGTATATGGTAGGGAATTCAAAATACACATAGCACCCCCACCACGGTTTCAAGTTCACTGCCTAATTGGTAAATTGAAAGTAACACAGGTGAGATCAACACCTAGAGTTATTAAATACTGAGGCTAAGAGTACTGCATACTCCGGCGTTTAGGGAGGAAGAATCCATCGCGTGCTGGAGAAATTTGAGGAGGTTCTGAGGAACACAGGCCAGGTATGGATTGAAATCAGCCTCTACTCTTTTTAGGGGAAGAAGCTGGGAATAAGGGAATGGATGTTGGGCAGCCGCTTTATGTGACTTTCTAAGGTCAATGCAGAACCACACACAAGTTGACACTAATAAGTGTTCTGGTGAGGGGACCCATAAGGGTATCTGGGACTTTTGGGATTGCTGGGATTTGGGGGTTGCACTTGGCTTCTCTAAATAGAAAACAAAATTTCAGGGCATTGAGTTATACTTCACTAGAGGCCCAGTGCACGAAATTCATGCACTGGGTGTGTGTGTGTGGGGTGGGGGAGGGGGTTGGTCCCTCAGCCCAGCCTGTGCTCTCTCACAGTCCAGGACCCCTTGGGGGATGTCCAACTGCCAGCTTAGGCTCTATCCCCCTGGGCCACCGCTGCTGCACTTAGCAGCCGTGAGCCTGGCTTCTGACTGCGCAGCACTCCCCCTGTGGGAGTGCATTGACCACCAGGGGGCAGCTCCTGCATTGAACATCTGCCCCCTGGTGGTCAGTGAGCATCATAGCGACTGGTCATTCTGCCATTCAGTTGATTTGCATATTAGGGTTTTACTATATAGGATTACTCATCTCTCAATTCTAAAAAGGGATAATTTGTAAGTTCTCTCTTTTTTGGTGTGTTTGTTCTTTATTTTTTATTTAAGTATAGTTGGTATCCAATCTTACATTGGTTTTATTAGTTTCAGGTGTACAATATAGTGACTCAACACTTTTATAACTTACGTGATCACCCCACTAATTCTAGTAATCATGTGTCACCGTGTATACTTATCACAATATTATTGACTATA